AACGGGGTTATATGGTGGGGCGGATTTGGATCGATATTAATACGGGACTGTATACCACAGGTGAAACCTAGAATTAAAAATAAAAATATAATTATATAATCTTAAATAATAAACAAACCGAAAAATATTAACAAAACAAATATAACTTAAAATTTAAAACTTTTAGTTTTAAAAAATTGACCCGCAATATACCGCGGGGTAAATATTTTTGATACAAAATAATAACAAATTATTATAATAGTCCAAGATTAGAAATGCTTGCCAATATTAATACTATATCATTTCTATACCTACAAATCTTCTAAGTACACATATTTCAACTATATTAATTATAATATAAAATAATTAAATAAGAATTTTTTTTTTATAATATCAATTTAAAATCCAATAAATTATAAATTATATATAAAATATATAAAATACAATTTTGCCCCACAGTATACCGCGGGTTAAATCCTAGTATTTAATATATTCAAACAAGATATTACATTTTAAATCCGTTTAATGGGTGCGTGAAGTATAAATCTCTCTTTTGTTTTTTTTTTTTACAACGGATTCCGGCAACTGAATCACTGGAATTAGATGGTTATGGTGTTTACAACATGGCTTATGTTAGTTCGGGGATGTCCGTATGTAATGTCAATACTTCGTGTAGCTAACGAAACATTTTTAAAGTCTGCATGTGTGACTATGTGATGGCGTCTTTTTCGTATAGCTGGCAAACATTCTCCCTAAAATATACACGTTGTTTTTTAAAAAACTAAAATGCAAAATATCGATTTGATGACAGTCGATATTTGAAGATTTTTTGGTTAATGAATTTTGAATTGAAGAATTTTTTGTTAGTAGATCTTTACTTAAAAGTTTGTATTTATTAATAATTTAGTTGAGAAGTTTGAAATAAATTTGTCCATACTTAAGAGTTTTTGTATTTCTCTATAATTTGATATGTTTTATTTTCATTAATATCACCTAAAATCTTCAGTCACCTGAGATGATGATACTCTTTAAAGATACTAAAGAATGGCCCAAATCATAATATTAATAAAGCCCGTTAGTAACCGAATCGACCCACCCGACATTACGACCCAGATCGTTTTAATATCCAAAGCCAAAATCGGAGCTCCAAAGCTCAAGCTTGTCTGGCTTGAGAACAAAGAAAACCCCTTTCTTCGATCTCTGCTTAAATCACTCGAAGAAGAAGAAATCACTAAGAGTCACAAAAAAAAAAAGATCGACGAAGATGAGTAGCATTGGAACTGGGTACGATCTCTCCGTCACCACTTTCTCTCCCGATGGCCGTGTTTTCCAGATCGAGTACGCCGCTAAAGCTGTCGACAACAGTGGGTTAGTACTTTTTTACTTCTCGATCTTCGCCCTTTAGTAGATCGGATTTAGCTTTCAAACCTTTTGATAAACGAATTAGGGTTTCTTAAAAGTCGTTCCCTTTTTTCTTCTTCACAGGACTGTTGTTGGAATCAAGTGCAAAGACGGGATTGTTATGGTTTGATTCTTTCTCCTTCTTCTTTTGATTTTTGTACTACTTTGTCAGTTTCTTCATTGGGTTTAGTCTCTTGCTCGGGTTCTGGGATGAAATTAGGGTTTGTTCCTGATTTAACCTTCGAATTTAGGTTAAATGAAGTATTAACATGTTTGTTACCAGATTCGTAGCTTTTATTTGATATAAACCTTGGAAAATATTGACTGAAGATGACACATTTCTCAATCCCTTAGTTCCATTTCCTTTTCTACATTTTGAGAATCTGTTGTTGCTTGCTACCTTAGGGCTTTTGTAAGGTTTACACATATATGATAAAGGAATGGTCTTTCTAAGTGTTTTTCTTTTGGGGGTTTGGTTTTAGGGTGTGGAGAAACTTATTGCATCAAAGATGATGTTACCAGGTTCCAACAGGAGGATCCATTCTGTTCATCGTCATGCTGGCATGGTATGTTTTTTTTCTTTCGTTTTTCTCCTAACCATAGGAAATTAGTTTCTGCTAAGGATATGTATCTTTCAAGTTACCACTGTGTCTAGTCTGGTAGTATATTGTTTTGTTTCATGTCATTTCTACTTCTTGTCATGTCAGGCTGTTGCTGGGCTTGCAGCTGATGGGAGGCAAATTGTTGCGCGTGCCAAGTCTGAAGCACGAAGCTATGAGAGGTATCAATGAAAACATCAGTAGCTTCTGCTGTTAAAGTTTTATTACTATGAATCAACTGTTCAACACCTATAGCTTTTCTCAAGGGAATGTTTCTCTTAGTTAAATTTTCAAAATATTTTCTCTGCACTTTGTTAGATTGAAAGTCTTAATATATGGGCATAAGATTTCAATGTGTCTTTTCTCTGCATTGCTTTGCATAAATAAAGTATTCCTGATTGTGCAACTAACTCTACTTTGTCACTTATGATAATTTAGTGTTTATGGCGATGCTGTACCTGTGAAGGAACTTTCAGAGCGTGTTGCAAGTTATGTACATTTGTGTACCCTGTATTGGTGGCTGAGGTTTGTCCAGTTCATCGACCTTTTTGATAGCCACCTAAGCATTTCTCCTACTTAAATGAATTATAAGAATTTATTTTTATGTTGAAGGCCTTTTGGCTGTGGAGTCATTCTTGGAGGTTATGATAGAGATGGACCTCAATTGTACATGATTGAACCATCAGGCATATCATATGTAAGTCATTTCTGTTCGTAGATATGTGTCTTTAAGTTTTAAATCTTACGTCATTTCTCTCTGTCATCATATGGATCCTTGTCCTGCAGAGGTATTTTGGTGCGGCCATTGGCAAAGGAAAGCAAGCGGCTAAAACGTAAGTTACAGCGTGAATGTTTTTGATATTATCCTAGTATTTTCTAGGATTCTCTTATAGTAGATATGCGTACATACAAAGGGTATATGTACCGCTAGGATTGATCAAGTTAATGTGTCAAAAAGAAATGCTAATTAACTTCACAAATAAATCAAAGAAATAATTTAAACTTGAAGGATCAGGTGAGCTTTCATGGTTAATAGGATTGATGATTCTCCATGAATGTTATAAGAACGTTATGACAGATGTTTCTGAATTGAGCTTTTGACCTGTGTGGATCTTGTTTCAACTAAAGGGTTATAGATATAGTTAGCAAGGGTATACAAGTGTTCTGATGGATCAGACAATTCCTTGCAGGGAAATTGAGAAGTTGAATTTATCTGAGATGACATGCAAAGAAGGCGTTATCGAGGTGGCGAAAATGTGAGTAGTGCTTGCTTCTAATGTACATGCTTTCAGTATTAAACTCTTGTGGTTCTCATGTGCTTTTTATAACCAGGTTCATTTTATAGCAAGATCTAATGTGACTTTTTCATGTGCAGCATCTACAAGCTACACGATGAAGCCAAGGACAAGGCCTTTGAATTGGAGATGAGTTGGATATGCGACGAGTCAAAACGAGAACATCAGAAGGTAAAATCTTATATGGTCTTTACTTACTGACAGATGATTTAAAGAAATGTTGCTCATAAACCATATAATTGGACTCATTGTAGGTCCCTGATGATCTTCTGGAAGAAGCAAAGACAGCAGCTAAAACTGCGCTCGAGGAGATGGATGCTGACTAAAACTGAGGAGTGTGTTGAATTTAGACCTGTTGTAATGCGTCGTTTTGTGTTTCTTATGTACTCTGAATTGAATTTTGTCTTGGAGGGACAGTTGTTGCAGTGTCTTATGAACCATTGGAGTCTTTTATCTTTATTGCTATCAACAGTTGCTACGATAACTCCTTTAGGAGAATTAACATTCATTAGAATTGACCCTGGCGGCTACCAACTGCAAAGATTCCGATCAGTAGCTCCGGTGAATACAAAGCCCACTGAATTGTGGCACTATCAATGGCTTCGGGCTCCTTGAACTGGAGTATTCAGTTCCCGTAGCGAAGCCGAGTACACTGATTAGCCAACCCACAATCAGGGAAAATCCAATCTCCGACTAGACGGCTCCCTATTGATAACTCCTTGACCTAGCAAGACGTTAAACTCAAATCGAACACCCGACCACTGTTCCCGCTCCCACATCCTCTCATAGACAAGTCAACCTTCCATCCGGTCCGGTGAAGACCTTTTCAAAATTTCATTACCCAACACAAAGATAAAGAAATCTTAGAAAACCCTAATCGATTAATAAAAATATTGTTGATGGAGTAGCCATCAACACAACGAATGACCATAAGTCCATAACATTTTACCAGTAAAGAATAACTATACAAACATTGAAATTTTACTCACTTCCTGATCACTCTCGACCTACATAAACTATAATCATTGTTTAGACGTGAAAAGAAGATAGATGTCAATTTCATAGTAGAGAGACTCATGATACGTTTTACATTTTGAAACAGTAGCATAAACAAAACTAAACCGTGATTCAATTTGCAATTCAGATAGATGTCAGTTTCATAGTAGAGACTCATGAGTGAGTGTATATATAGTAAAAAACTTCTGAACTGGATCTATTAGTATTTGAATATGATTTGGATTTTTCTAATACTATTCACAAGAAAAGATTCCATCTACCTACTATCCCACTTCTTCCGAAAAGATAAACATTTGATTTAGGTAATAAATGAAGCATGTGATCATATTATATTCATGAATTCTTGATAAATTCATCTACATTTTCACTTTGAGCAACAATGGAAGCAATAATGAATGATTGACCCAATGAATGGTTTATAATATGTAAATAAATTCAAATGTATTAAGATAAATATATGATTTTTTTCCTTTTTCTTTTAGATATGATTGACCCAATTAGTGATTATAATATACAAATAAATCTACTGTCTAAAGATAAAGATATGATTTTTTTCCTTTTTTTTTTAAAGATTTGATTGACCCAATTAATGGTTATAATATGTGAATAAATTCACTGTCTATATATACGTATACATATATATATATATATATATATATCTAAAGAATAAACTCTCAAACAAATCAGATCAAGAAGAAAAAAAAAAAAACAAAGCATCAAAAAATGTCATTCTTGCTCTATTTCCTCTGTCTTTTACCTATTTTCTTAGTTTGCTTATCAAACTTTTCTAAAAACCTCAAACACTCAAAATGGAAGCTTCCTCCAGGACCCAAGACGCTTCCAATCATCGGAAACTTACACAACCTCACTGGATCGCCTCATGCATGTTTTCGAAATCTCTCCCAAAAATTTGGACCAGTGATGCTTCTCCGTTTCGGATTCGTCCCCGTGGTCGTGATCTCATCGAGAGAAGGAGCAGAGGAAGCTCTGAAGACCCAAGATCTTCAATGTTGCAGCAGACCAGAGACTGTCGTGACAAAAATGATCTCTTACAACTTCAAAGACATCGGGTTCGCCCCTTACGGCGAGGAATGGAAAGCGTTAAGGAAGCTCGTGGTTGTCGAGCTCTTGAACATGAAAAAGATTCAGTCTTTCAGATATATAAGAGAGGAAGAGAATGACTTGCTGGTCAAGAAATTAACAGAATCGGCTTTGACACAATCCCCGGTGAATCTGAAGAAGACCCTTTTCACGCTCGTCGCTAGTATTGTGTGTAGGCTCGCGTTCGGGATAAATATCCACAAGTGCGAGTTTGTCGATGAGGAAAAGGTTGCAGATCTAGTTCACAAGTTTGAGATGCTAGGCGCTGGTATTGCGTTCACTGACTTCTTCCCTGGAGTGGGTTGGCTTATCGACCAGATCTCCGGACGGAAGAAGACATTGAACAATGTTTTCTCAGACCTCGACACTTTCTATGAGAATGTGCTTGATGATCATCTCAAACCTGGAAGAAGAGTATCAGAGAGCCCTGATGTGGTTGACGTGATGGTTGATCTGATGAAGAAGCAAGAGAAAGATGGAGACTCTTTCAAGCTAACAACAGATCATCTCAAAGGAATCATCTCGGTAAAATCTTCTTAGTGACCTCAATGCCACTAAACTGTTGTAAAATTTGAACTTACGCGTTCTGTGTTTGTATCAGGACATATTTCTTGCAGGAGTAAACACAAGCGTCGTCACTTTGAATTGGGCGATGACAGAGCTGATTAGAAACCCAAAAGTGATGAAGAAAGTGCAAGACGAGATTCGGACAATACTTGGGGACAAGAAACAGAGAATCACAGAGCAAGATCTAAACCAACTTCACTACTTCAAGCTCGTGGTCAAGGAGATATTTAGATTACACCCAGCAGCTCCACTTTTGCTCCAAAGAGAGACGTTGTCTCATGTCAAGATTCAAGGTTACGATATTCCTGCAAAGACACAGATGATGATCAACATTTACTCGATCGCACGTGATCCAAAACTATGGGAAAACCCAGATGAGTTCAACCCTGACAGGTTCCTCGACAGTTCCATAGATTACCGAGGACTCAACTTTGAGCTTTTACCGTTTGGTTCTGGCCGGAGAATCTGTCCAGGGATAACGATGGGAATCACCACCGTAGAATTGGGACTGTTTAATTTGCTCTATTTCTTTGATTGGGAAGTGCCTCAAGGGAAGAATGTGAAAGACATCGACTTGGAAGAAACTGGATCGTTCATAATCAGCAAGAAAACAACTCTACAACTTGTTCCAATACTTCATCGCTGAAAGAATTAGTCAATAAGATTATTTATTTTTGTTGTACTCAGCTTCTTAATTTTGATTTTGTGATATTTGTTCTATATTTAAAATCAATAAATCGTAATCTGAAAAACATGACGGAAACAAAAGGTTCTAAAACGTGAATTAAAATTTGATTACGAAAATAATAACGACGTTTTCATAAAATGACAAAAATCATTAAACTATGAGCACTGAATTATTTAATTAAAACTAGATTAGGTTAAGACAAATAATTAATTGTAACAAAACCATGAAATTCTGGAGACGCGTTTCCTTACTATATTTACCATTAATTTTAAAATTATAAATAGAAAGACTTTTGGAATTATTTTTAAGATTATCATACAACGAAAAAATGAATAAATAGGAACGCTCATTCTCAGCAGTCAGCACGGAAACAACTCTTGAACTCGTTCCACTTCTTTATCACTTAAATGAAAAAAATTACTCAATAGTAAGAGAAAACGAACGCTTCATGACAAACATTAAGCATATAGGATGTTCTTTCGGGATGTGAAAATGATAATTCAGGAATACAGCGGGAATTATTACGAACTGTTCTTAAACTCGAAACACAATTATAAAGACAACTCGCTATCGCACTATTATCTAACTAAGCAATGAATATACTAGATCCTAAACAATCGTTTAAATCTAGCAAAATAAGCAAGCTTTAACGAAAAGATTGATATGTTCACTATCCCGGGGTATTGATAGGTTGAGAGTGCCATTGGCTTTTATGAGAAAGAAGGCAAAAAGACCAGAGGTAGAAAGGCAAGGCTTTGGGAGAAGAAGAATCAGAAGAGAAGTGGCTAAGTGTGACAAAGCTTCTAAAGGAGAAAGAGGGTTCCATATTTCTTATAAATAATGTGATGTCATCTTGTTGAGTTGCCATAAGTAGAGTTGTATTTAAGGCAAGACCAAAACATTATGGAACCTTATCTTATGAAATATGAACAGTAATGAGATCTAAAACAGATCTAGGTTATTTCTCTTCTTCATTTCTTTCCTTATCTCTTCTATTTTCTGGTTACGAGTTAACATTTGGTGCTCTCGTTGAGAGCAGGTGATGAAGCCCTCTACTACCGACAGCCGTTCCGGTACATCGGAACTCGAGAACATAGTTGTTGAAGAAACCCCTCAACCAAAGACGATGGAACAGCGAGAGGCTCGCCGAGATCGTGAGATGCAACAGATGAGAGAGGCGTTACACTCTGTGCAGACCATGCTTCAAAGTCTAACCATGGGAGATCCTAGATCTACTCCTCTTGTGGGTTACGAAACGCCTCCAATAGCCTCGCCTCAGCAACAAACACCCATCCCTGCTTCAACCAGTGTCGAAACCAGTCACTTGGAGAAAGGGGTTTCGGCACCGCCGTGTGTTTCTGAGGCACTGCTACCACCGCCGCCTCAGTTTCAGAGATTTGAGCCGTCTCAGTCGCGATTTGACTCTACTCAGCCATGTTTTGCGTTCGAGTCTTCACAACCTCGCCTCGACGCATTTCAGAAGAAGGTTGAGCTTCCCCTCTTCGAAGGCATTAACCCAGACGATTGGATTTTCAGAGTAGAGAAATGTTTTAGCACTAACCATACACCGGAGTTTGAGAAGGTAGATCAAGCTGTGCATTGCCTTACTAGAGCCGCAGTGACATTGATCTAAGGTCAAATACCGGATCAAATACGGTAATCATCATAGCATTTTAGAAACAAATTTCAATTTTAAAAACATACCATGTATACAGTTTTGAAAATCTCAAATATAATGAAAATAAGAACAAATAAGGCCACTTCCAGTACAGGCTTGAACGTAAGAAAAGTTTTATTAAATGGAAGGGAAAAAAAGAGCATTGAGTAAAAAAACAGCATTGACTTAATTTTACGAAGTCGACCACGTTCATCTCCGTAGAAAAGGCAGTTGACCGTGGACGACTGCTCACAGTGGCGGACCCAGGATTTTATTTTATCCAGATCAAAACACAGCTTGAAAAAAAAATCATTTTTAATAACTAAAAAGAATCCAACAAAAGGTTCACGCAAAACAAAGAAAAACACACCCTACAAAAAATTTATCCAAAAAAAAAAAATTGTCTACAAAAGCATCCTACGATCCTTCATGTCTTAAAATCTTTTAATCACAGTCTCATTTGTAATAGTCTCGAATACATCTTTCTCAACAAAACAAATTTCTAGACATGATAACTAATGATTACAATTATACAAAAAGACTAATTTTTTCTAAGTTATGAACTTACTTGATTTTGGAAAAGTAGACCGGTACAGAACACACCCGTAACGTGAAGAAGAAAACTGATAATTGAAGAAGAAAACTAAACACGTTTGATGGCCAAAGAATAACAATTAGGTTAAAAGGCCACTTTGTTGTTAATTATAATTTAAAATAAAGAAAATAAGAAAATATACATAAACCTCAAATTTGTGGGCCATCAACTATTTGCTGCACATCAATCTTTTGGGCTGTGGGCTTCTCACGTATTGAGTCATTAAGTCAATGTAGGCAGATCAACTTATATACTTAAGTCATTAAATCTTATACAGAATTATATATATACAAAAAAAATTGAAAAATTGGGCAGGTCAGCTGCCTACCCTACACTACAAGTGGGTCCGCCCTTGACTGCTCATTGAAACAGAGTAGACGGCGGGTCTACTCCGTTTTATAATCAGATAGGACTTGCGCATTTTCCGTTGCAAAAAAAAAGTTTTCGACTTAGCTTGTTATGAGTATTACGCTCTGAGCTTGTTGCTCCTCTATACGTTTTACACTTCGATGTTTATTTGACAAATGGTGTTGGAGACAGTTTCAAGTAGACAAATTTCAGTTTTAAAAACATACAATGTATACAGTTTTGAAAATCTCAAATATAATGAAACTAAGAACAAATAAGGCCACTTCCAGTACAGGCTTGAGCGTAAGAAAAGTTTTATTATGTGGAAGGGAAAAAAAGAGCATTGAGTAAAAAAAAAGCATTAACTTAATTTAACGAAGTCGACCACGTTCATCTCTGTCTAAACGGCCGTTGACCGCGGATCTACTACGTTATATAATCAGATAGGACTTGCGCATTTTCCGTTGCAAAAAAAAAGTATTCGAACTTAGCTTGTTATAAGTATTAGGCTCTGAGCTTGTTGCTCCTCTATATGTTTTACACTTTGATGTTTATTTGACAAATGGTGTTGGAAACAGTTTCAAGTAGACAGTTTCAAGTAGACAGTTTCATGTAGACAAATTTCAGTTTTAAAAACATACCATGTATACAGTTTTGAAAATCTCAAATATAATGAAAATAAGAACAAATAAGGCCACTTCCAGTACAGGCTTGAACGTAAGAAAATTTTTATTAAATGGAAGGGAAAAAAAGAGCATTGAGTAAAAAAACAGCATTGACTTAATTTTACGAAGTCGACCACGTTCATCTCCGTAGAAAAGGCAGTTGACCGTGGACGACTGCTCACAGTGGCGGACCCAGGATTTTATTTTATCCAGGTCAAAACACAGCTTGAAAAAAAAATCATTTTTAATAACTAAAAAGAATCCAACAAAAGGTTCACGCAAAACAAAGAAAAACACACCCTACAAAAAATTTATCCAAAAAAAAAAATTGTCTACAAAAGCATCCTACGATCCTTCATGTCTTAAAATCTTTTATCACAGTCTCATTTGTAATAGTCTCGAATACATCTTTCTCAACAAAACAAATTTCTAGACATGATAACTAATGATTAACAATTATACAAAAAGACTAATTTTTTCTAAGTTATGAACTTACTTGATTTTGGAAAAGTAGACCGGTACAGAACACACCCGTAACGTGAAGAAGAAAACTGATAATTGAAGAAGAAAACTAAACACGTTTGATGGCCAAAGAATAACAATTAGGTTAAAAGGCCAATTTGTTTTTAATTATAATTTAAAATAAAGAAAATAAGAAAATATACATAAACCTCAAATTTGTGGGCCATCAACTATTTGCTGCACATCAATCTTTTGGGTTGTGGGCTTCTCACGTATTGAGTCATTAAGTCAAAGTAGGCAGGTCAACTTATATACTTAAGTCATTAAGTCATTAAATCTTATACAGAATTATATATATACAAAAAAAATTGAAAAATTGGGCAGGTCAGCTGCCTACCCTACACTACAAGTGGGTCCGCCCTTGACTGCTCATTGAAACAGAGTAGACGGCGGTTCTACTCCGTTTTATAATCAGATAGGACTTGCGCATTTTCCGTTGCAAAAAAAAAGTTTTCGAACTTAGCTTGTTATGAGTATTACGCTCTGAGCTTGTTGCTCCTCTATACGTTTTACACTTCGATGTTTATTTGACAAATGGTGTTGGAGACAGTTTCAAGTAGACAAATTTCAGTTTTAAAAACATATCATGTATACAGTTTTGAAAATCTCAAATATAATGAAAATAAGAACAAATAAGGCCACTTCCAGTACAGGCTTGAGCGTAAGAAAAGTTTTATTATGTGGAAGGGAAAAAAAGAGCATTGAGTAAAAAAAAAGCATTGACTTAATTTAATGAAGTCGACCACGTTCATCTCTGTCTAAACGGCCGTTGACCGCGGATCTACTACGTTATATAATCAGATAGGACTTGCGCATTTTCCGTTGCAAAAAAAAAGTTTTCGAACTTAGCTTGTTATAAGTATTAGGCTCTGAGCTTGTTGCTCCTCTATATGTTTTACACTTTGATGTTTATTTGACAAATGGTGTTGGAGACAGTTTCAAGTAGACAGTTTCATGTAGACAAATTTCAGTTTTAAAAACATACCATGTATACAGTTTTGAAAATCTCAAATATAATGAAAATAAGAACAAATAAGGCCACTTCCAGTACAGGCTTGAACGTAAGAAAAGTTTTATTAAGTGGAAGGGAAAAAAAGAGCATTGAGTAAAAAAAAAAGCATTGACTTAATTTTACGAAGTCGACCATGTTCATCTCCGTAGAAATGGCAGTTGACCGTGGATGACTGCTCATTGAAACAGAGTAGACGGCGGGTCTACTCCGTTTTATAATCAGATAGGACTTGCGCATTTTCCGTTGCAAAAAAAAAGTTTTCGAACTTAGCTTGTTATGAGTATTAGGCTCTGAGCTTGTTGCTCCTCTATACGTTTTACACTTCGATGTTTATTTGACAAATGGTGTTGGAGACAGTTTCAAGTAGACAGTATCAAGTAGACAAATTTCAGTTTTAAAAACATACCATGTATACAGTTTTGAAAATCTCAAATATAATGAAAATAAGAACAAATAAGGCCACTTCCAGTACAGGCTTGAACGTAAGAAAAGTTTTATTAAGTGGAAGGGAAAAAAAGAGCATCGAGTAAAAAAAAAGCATTGACTTAATTTAACAAAGTCGACCACGTTCCTCTCCGTCTAAACGGCCGTTGACCGCGGATCTACTCCGTTATATAATCAGATAGGACTTGCGCATTTTCCGTTGCAAAAAAAATGTTTTCGAACTTAGCTTGTTATAAGTATTAGGCTCTGAGCTTGTTGCTCCACTATATGTTTTACACTTTGATGTTTATTTGACAAATGGTGTTGGAGACAGTTTCAAGTAGACAGTTTCATGTAGACAAGTTTCAGTTTTGAAAACATACCATGTATACAGTTTTGAAAATCTCAAATATAATGAAAATAAGAACAAATAAGGCCACTTCCAGTACAGGCTTGAACGTAAGAAAAGTTTTATTAAGTGGAAGGGAAAAAAAGAGCATTGAGTAAAAAAACAGCATTGACTTAATTTAACGAAGTCAACCACGTTCATCTCCGTCTAAACGGCCGTTGACCGCGGATCTACTCCGTTATATAATCAGATAGGACTTGCGCATTTTCTGTTGCAAAAAAAAAAGTTTTCGAACTTAGCTTGTTATAAGTATTAGGCTCTGAGCTTGTTGCTCCTCTATATGTTTTACACTTTGATGTTTATTTGACAAATGGTGTTGGAGACAGTTTCAAGTAGACAGTTTCATGTAGACAAATTTCAGTTTTGAAAACATACCATGTATACAGTTTTGAAAATCTCAAATATAATATCTACAAGAAAACCTGCGTTTTGCAACTAACTTTTGCGACTAAATATTTAGTCGCAAATCTCTGCGACTATTTACCGACGTTATTGCGACTATTTACTGACGAAAAACAATATGGACGTACATTAGTCGCAAATCAGCGACTAAACAAAACAGTCGGTAATTAGTCGTCCATTAGCGACATATTTGCGACCGATGACAGACTAAATGTTTTGGTCACAATTCAGTAGCAAACGTGCGACTGATGTGCGACTAGTTATTTGGTCAGAAGTGGTAGTCGCAATTTAGTCTCAAAAGAGCGACGATGTAACGACCACTTATTATAGTTACGCTTTAGTCTCAAAAGAGCGACGATGTAACGACCGTTTTGCGACAAACGTATATTGAAACGCTTATTCTCTCCACCAATTTTCTGTTAGTCGCTAAATAGTCGGTATTTTGCGACTAGCACCTGAAGATTTTGCGACTGTTTTGCGACTAGCACCTGAGATTGCGACCTATTTGCGACTATTTACCAACTCTCGATTTTTGTTTTCTCAATTTTCACGTTTTAAATTTGCTTACATATAAAGTTAAACATTTCTACCCTTATTTGATATTACTCATTAAGAAAATTTTAACCAAAGTCATAAATACTGATGTTTAGAAACAAAACATCAAAAACAAACAAATCTCTTTATGATATTACATTACTCATATGAGTAATGTTTAGGGATTTAGTAAAAACTCTAAATTACTTGAGTTTTGCAAAGTTTTGTAACCTTAAACTAATATATGTCCTCTATAACCCTAATATGAGTGTTATAGAGTGATATATGTCACCATTTTGGATCGAAATGTGTAGATTTCTAAATTTTGCCTTGTGACTAATAGATCACAGTCACACAAACGTCGCAAATTTGCCACCATTTTGGAACGATTTCCCATTGTGCGACTATGTTGCGACCATTGTTGCAACTATATACCGACTACCATTGCGACTATTTTGGTACTGAATATGAAATTACTTGAGTTTTGCAAAGTTTTGTAACCTTAAACTAATATATGTCCTCTATAACCCTAATATGAGTGTTATAGAATGCCATATATAACCATTTTGGATTGAAATGTGTATACCTCTCCTTTTGCGTTGTGACTATAGATTATAGTCACAATCTAGTTGCAAATTTGCCACTATTTTGGAACTGTTTACCATTTAGCGACTATATTGTGACAATTTCTGCAACTATTTGCCGACCATAATTGCGACTATTTAGGTACTAAATGTGAAATTTCTAAGATTTTCGCTAAGTGTTTGGGCGGTTTAGATTTCCCCCAATTTTTTTACTTTGGTACCATTTTGCGACTAAAACGAACCCTCAAGTTAGGACTTATGAACATGTTTAAATCATCAACACTAAATTTGTTATTCTAAATTATTAAAAATTAATATCAAACTGTGTGACAAAAAAATTCAAGTATAAGTTTTTGTAAATTCTAAACTTTAAAACCTAAACACTTATACTAAACTCTAAAACCAACACTTATTACAAATTTTGAATTTATTTTTCCCAAATCTTTGATTATGAATTCCAAACACTAAATTATGAATTCTAACACTTATAATATCAAATCTTTAAACTTAAATCCCAAACACTAAATTATGAATTCTAATACTTAACTATATATAATCAATCATTAAAAAAAAAAAAAACTATAAAACTAAAATATAACTATTTTTGCAAATGAAGTTGATTACATGTGTTATATGTCATAAAATAGTTTTAGAATATCTAATTTATTTTCATGAATTTACAACATATTGCAAAACTAATCTGTTAATTAAATGTGAAAAATTAACAAAACAATGCTAAACGTTAAAAATGCAAATAGAAAAAACTGTCATTGGTTAACTCATTTAGACAAGGATCACACAGTTTTTAATATAGACCATTGATTAGAGTGAATCCAAGGGATACAAATTTCAACTTCTCTTTATTATCTCATTGGTTAACTCATTTAGACAAGGATCACACAGTTTTTAATATAGACCATTGATTAGAGTGAATCCAAGGGATACAAATTTCAACTTCTCTTTATTATCTCATTGGCTAAGTCAATAAAGTAGGGATCACAACGATTCCGATATGAACCGTTGATGAAAATGAATCTAACGGACACAAATTAACCCTTTTTTAAGCTCTTCTTTTCACTTCTTCCCTCTTTCTCCTCTTCTTAGTCGTCTCTTTCGTCGTCGTTTTTTTATTCTTCAATCGATTATCCAACTATACCATATTCTAATTCTACCATGCAATTGAATCGATTATCAAATTAGTTTCGATTTGGGGATCTCAGCTTCAACCCACGACATCTCGGCTATATGGGAGAATCTCGATTTTGAAATCCGAGACCTGTTTATTAGTACGGAGCTATTTTCAATTTGTATTCATTGGTTGAATTCACATATATAATTAGTTTCCTATTGTTTTTTATCGATCTAATGTATTCTCTTGCTGGGCTTCTCTATTGCAGAATCGAATTGGAGGAGGAAGAAGGCGAGGTGATCTAGTTGGCTCGGAGAAAAAAGAGTTCTCGGCACTTCCGAGTTCCGGCGTTCACAAAAAAGCTCCTCAAAGCCGGAGATGGCTGGGAAACTCTTGAACATGATGGGAATTCGAATGATTTTGCAGCTTAAGATGGGGAAGAAGATGACAACGCTTTGTGATTTTGAGAACGTATTTTTATTTTTTAATTATTGTATTTTTTGTAATATTGATTTTTTATCATTTTTTCATATACTAGATAATAATAAATTTGATATTTTTATTTAATGTTAGAGGATACGGCTGGGACAGAGTTCCCACGTCAAGTACGATTGTAATTTTTAGTTTGCTTTAATAAATGGTAGGAGATAATTATCTCCCCCTCCCCTACCAAAAAAAAAAGATAATAATAAATTTGATATTTTTATTTTTAATATATCAATTTATCCCAAAAAAATCATTAATCATAATTTAATATAATTAAAATAATTAATAAAAGTAAAATGTTATAGAAAATATAAATAACTAGAATAAATTATAGAATTATTATTATATATATATACAATTATTATTAATATATGCTTTTCTTGTAGTGAAACGGTTGCAAACGAATCGCAAATTGGGCCCAAATATGTAAGGTTATTACAGTCGCAAATGAGTCGCTAACGTCAGTTCGTTGCTCTTTCGTCGCAAATTTGCAACGATATTCGCCTGTTACAGATTAGTCGTTAATCTGCGACGATATATTTATAGTCGCTAAATAGTCGCAAATTAGCGACTATAATGAGACAAAGAAATTTTGCGACCGTTTTTTTGCGACTAATGGAAATAGTCGTTATTCAGTTGCAAAACCCTCTTTTGCGACAGTTTAGCGACCATTTTCACAGTCGCAAATGAAGTGTTTTCTTGTAGTGAATGAAAATAAGAACAAATAAGGCCACTTCCAGTACAGGCTTGAACGTAAGAAAAGTTTTATTAAGTGGAAGGGAAAAAAAGAGCATTGAGTAAAAAAACAGCATTGACTTAATTTAACGAAGTCGACCACGTTCATCTCCGTAGAAACAGAAGTCGACCGTGGACGATGGCACATCGAAACAGAGTAGACAACGGATCTACTCCGTTTTATAATCAGATAGGACTTGTGCATTTTCCGTTGCAAAAAAAAAGTTTTCGAACTTAGCTTGTTATGAGTATGAGGCTCTGAGCTTGTTGCTCCTCTATACATTTTACACTTTGATGTTTATTTGACAAATAGTGTTGGAGACAGTTTCAAGTAGACAAATTTCAGTTTTAATTTAACAAAGTCGACCACGTTTATCTCCGTAGAAACTGCCGTTGACCGCGGATCTACTCCGTTTTATAATCAGATAGAACTTGCGCATTTTCAGTTGCAAAAAAAAGTTTTCGAACTTAGCTTGTTATGAGTATTAGGCTCTGAGCTTGTTGCTCCTCTATATGTTTTACACTTTGATGTTTATTTGACAAATGGTGTTGGAGACAGTTTCAAGTAGACAGTATCAAGTAGACAAATTTCAGTTTTAAAAACATACCATGTATACAGTTTTGAAAATCTCAAATATAATGAAAATAAGAACAAATAAGGGCACTTCCAGTCCAGGCTTGAACGTAAGAAAAGTTTTATTAAGTGGAAGGGAAAAAAAGAGCATTGAGTAAAAAAAAGCATTGACTTAATTTAACGAAGTCGACCACGTTCATCTCCGTAGAAACGGCCGTTGAACGCGGATCTACTCCGTTTTATAATCAGATAGGACTTGCGCATTTTCCGTTGCAAAAAAAAAGTTTTCGAACTTAGCTTGTTATGAATATTAGGCTCTGAGCTTGTTGCTCCTCTATACGTTTTACACTTTGATGTTTATTTGACAAATGGTGTTGGAGACAGTTTCAAGTAGACAAATTTCAGTTTAAAAAACATACCATGTATACAGTTTGAAAATCTCAAATATAATGAAAATAAGAACAAATAAGGCCACTTCCAGTACAGGCTTGAACGGCAGAAAAGTTTTATTAAATGAAAAGGAAAAAAAGAGAATTGAGTAAAAAAACAGCATTGACTTAATTTTACGAAGTCGACCACGCTTATCTCTGTAGAAACGGCTGTTGACCGTGGACGACTGCTCATTGAAACAGAGTAGACGGCGGGTCTACTCCGTTTTATAATCAGATAGGACTTGCGCATTTTACGTTGCAAAAAAAAAGTTTTCGAACTTAGCTTGTTATGAGTATTAGGCTCTGAGCTTGTTGCTCCTCTATACGTTTTACACTTCGATGTTTATTTGACAAATGGTGTTGGAGACAGTTTCAAGTAGACAGTATCAAGTAGACAAATTTCAGTTTTAAAAACATACCATGTATACTGTTTTGAAAATCTCAAATATAATGAAAATAAGAACAAATAAGGCCACTTCCAGTACAGGCTTGAACGTAAGAAAAGTTTTATTAAGTGGAAGGGAAAAGAAGAGCATCGAGTTAAAAAAAGCATTGACTTAATTTAACGAAGTCGACCACGTTCATCTCCTTCTAAACGGCTGTTGACCGCGGATCTACTCCGTTATATAATCAGATAGGACTTGCGCATTTTCCGTTGCAAAAAAAAAGTTTTCGAACTTAGCTTGTTATAAATATTAGGCTCTGAGCTTGTTGCTCCACTATATGTTTTACACTTTGATGTTTATTTGAAAAATAGTGTTGGAGACAGTTTCAAGTAGACAGTTTCATGTAGACAAGTTTCAGTTTTGAAAACATACCATGTATACAGTTTTGAAAATCTCAAATATAATGAAAATAAGAACAAATAAGGCCACCTCGAGTACAGGCTTGAACGTAAGAAAAGTTTTATTAAGTGGAAGGGAAAAAAAGAGCATTGAGTAAAAAAAAGCATTGACTTAATTTAACGAAGTCGACCACGTTCATCTCCGTCTAAACGGCCGTTGACCGCGGATCTACTCCGTTATATAATCAGATAGGACTTGCGCATTTTCCGTTGCAAAAAAAAAAGTTTTCGAACTTAGCTTGTTATAAGTATTAGGCTCTGAGCTTGTTGCTCCTCTATATGTTTTACACTTTGATGTTTATTTGACAAATGGTGTTGGAGACAGTTTCAAGTAGACAGTTTCATGTAGACAAATTTTAGTTTTGAACATACCATGTATACAGTTTTGAAAATCTCAAATATAATGAAAATAAGAACAAATAAGGCCACTTCCAGTACAGGCTTGAACGTAAGAAAAGTTTTATTAAGGGGAAGGGAAAAAAAGATTATTGAGTAAAAAAACAGCATTGACTTAATTTAACGAAGTCGACCACGTTCATCTCCGTAGAAACAGAAGTCGACCGTGGACGACGGCACATCGAAACAGAGTAGACAACGGATCTACTCCGTTTTATAATCAGATAGGACTTGCGCATTTTCCGTTGCAAAAAAAAAGTTTTCGAACTTAGCTTGTTATGAGTATGAGACTCTGAGCTTGTTGCTCCTCTATACGTTTTACACTTTGATGTTTATTTGACAAATAGTGTTGGAGACAGTTTCAAGTAGACAAATTTCAGTTTTAAGTTAACGAAGTCGACCACGTTTATCTCCGTAGAAACTGCCGTTGACCGCGGATCTACTCCGTTTTATATTCAGATAGGACTTGCGCATTTTCCGTTGCAAAAAAAGTTTTCGAACTTAGCTTGTTATGAGTATTAGGCTCTGAGCTTGTTGCTCCTCTATACGTTTTACACTTCGATGTTTATTTGACAAATGGTGTTGGAGACAGTTTCAAGTAGACAGTATCAAGTAGACAAATTTCAGTTTTAAAAACATACCATGTAAACTGTTTTGAAAATCTCAAATATAATGAAAATAAGAACAAATAAGGCCACTTCCAGTACAGGCTTGAACGTAAGAAAAGTTTTATTAAGTGGAAGGGAAAAAAAGAGCATCGAGTAAAAAAAAAGCATTGACTTAATTTAACGAAGTCGACCACGTTCCTCTCCGTCTAAACGGCCGTTGACCGCGGATCTACTCTGTTATATAATCATATAGGACTTGCGCATTTTCCGTTGCAAAAAAAAAGTTTTCGAACGTAGTTTGTTATAAGTATTAGGCTCTGAGCTTGTTGCTCCACTATATGTTTTACACTTTGATGTTTATTTGACAAATGGTGTTGGAGACAGTTTCAATTAGACAGTTTCATGTAGACAAGTTTCAGATTTGAAAACATACCATGTATATAGTTTTGAAAATCTCAAATATAATGAAAATAAGAACAAATAAGGCCACTTCCAGTACAGGCTTGAACGTAAGAAAAATTTTATTAAGTGGAAGGGAAAAAAAGAGCATTGAGTAAAAAAATAGCATTGACTTCAGTTAACGAAGTCGACCACGTTCATCTCCGTAGAAACAGAAGTCGACCGTGGACGACGGTACATCGAAACAGAGTAGACAACGGATCTACTCGGTTTTATAATCAGATAGGACTTGCGCATTTTCCGTTGCAAAAAAAAAGTTTTCGAACTTAGCTTGTTATGAGTATGAGGCTCTGAGCCTGTTGCTCCTCTATACGTTTTACACTTTGATGTTTATTTGACAAATAGTGTTGGAGACAGTTTCAAGTAGACAAATTTCAGTTTTAAGTTAACGAAGTCGACCACGTTTATCTCCGTAGAAACTGCCGTTGACCACGGATCTACTCCGTTTTATAATTAGATAGGACTTGCGCATTTTCCGTTGCAAAAAAAAGTTTTCGAACTTAGCTTGTTATGAGTATTAGGCTCTGAGCTTGTTGCTCCTCTATATGTTTTACACTTTGATGTTTATTTGACAAATGGTGTTGGAGACAGTTTCAAGTAGAAAGTATCAAGTAGACAAATTTGAGTTTAAAAAACATACAATGTATACAGTTTTGAAAATCTCAAATATAATGAAAATAAGAACAAATAAGGCCACTTCCAGTACATGCTTGAACGTAAGAAAAGTTTTATTATGTGGAAGGGAAAAAAAGAGCATTGAGTAAAAAAAAAGCATTGACTTAATTTAACGAAGTCGACCACGTTCATCTACGTAGAAACGGCCGTTGAACGCGGATCTACTCCGTTTTATAATCAGATAGGACTTGCGCATTTTCCGTTGCAAAAAAAAAGTTTTCGAACTTAGCTTGTTATGAGTATTAGGCTCTGAGCTTATTGTTCCTCTATACGTTTTACACTTCGATATTTATTTGACAAATGGTGTTGGAGACAGTTTCAAGTAGACAAATTTCAGTTTTAAAAACATACCATATATACAGTTTTGAAAATCTCAAATATAATGAAAATAAGAACAAATAAGGCCACTTC